GTGTGTGTGTGTGTGTATATGTGTGTGTCGGGGGGTGGGGGGCGTGTTCTGTGTTTGGATAGAACAAACAACCTCTCTTTCAATCCCCCCCTCTCCACCAAAAGAAAATAAAGTTATCATAGACAACTAATCGTGTTATAAAATTAATACGCTCGCAACGTCATCTATGATACAGTGGTTAGACAGCCGGTCGTCGCAGGCGGAAGACAAAGGTTCGATTCCAGCTTCGTGGAAAGGGGTGGGACAGGGGGTGAAAAAGTATCTCCATTCGAGAGCCTCCAAGTAAACTATGGTAAGTCATATTTTTCAAACTTTACAGGAGAGACAAAAAAACGCAACGGATTTTCTTGAAACGTTTCGGGTGAATAAATTAAATGTTCATAAGAGAGCCTACAGTACAAAGACATTAGGTTCCCTTATGAGATTAAGTTTATCCACCCAAAACGCTTTTTTTTTTTTAATCCGTGTTTTTTTTTTGGTCTCTCCTGTAAAATTTGAAAAACATGACTTACCATAGTTTACTTGACGACCCTCGAATATCTACTGGAAAGTGGTATCCATCACAGCCCTGGTTAACCGTAACAGGTAGATTCGGAGCTACCCGCCTCCTAAATGATCTAAATGTGAAGCGTGCTGACAAAATGAGATACTTTCTTGCAATCCACAAACGGAAATATTGGCCAAAAGTAGACACTATAGGAACAGATTAGTAGATTTTCTATTGATGCCACGTTCTTTTTTTAAAACGTACCTTTTATCATTCCATACGTAAAAATAGTAAAAACTTCACCTAATAGGGTGATGTATTTATTTCCATAAGGCTTGGATCCGAGAAGTAACTCATTTTGTCAGCACGCTTCACAAATTATATCAAAAGGGGGTAACACATCTACCGTTGTTATTAGTACGATAACCATTACAACTACACATTAACTATTAACATATACGCACCTACTTCACATCGGAATGTCCTGTTGAATATCAACACACGACGAACTCTCCATTAGCGATGCCACACAAGACCCATCACCGACATTTGGAGTTCACTACACATCATATTATTATTATTATTATTATTATTATTATTATTATTATTATGCGAGCCAACAACAACGAAACCAATGGGAATATTCAAAGCGCACACGTCCACGGAACATTTGATACCCTGATGGCTTATGAGTCCTCGTTTGAAAGCCACATCTTCCTATCTAGTGTGAGTGATCAGTGGTGATGGTAGGTAGGGTAGGCCGTTGTTCTGCCGTGCTGTCATGTGTGTGTGTGTGTGCTAGGCTTATGAGTGAGCGCTGAAAAGAACACTGTCGCTCGGCGGTGCTCACTAATGATATGGATGAACGGGTGTCGCATGACTCCTGGTCGGCTGGGGGTTGAGTTTAGTTGCTGTCATAAGCGCTTCTTTGTTTGCCATCCTTACTTTCATCTCTCTCTCTCTCTCTCTCTCTCTCTCTCTCTCTCTCTCTCTCTCTCTCTCTCTATGGATTCTATCTATAACAAAACGAGAATAGGAAGCAAGACAGAATAATCATCTTGATACAACCACTTGCCCGAGTCTCAAACGAAACCTACAGACCGAGCTAAGAATATTCAGTAGCTACAAAGTCTCGGGCCTTTCGTACAGAGCTGTGGCAGTGGGTGGTTGACGGGTGCTCTGGTGTGGTTTGCTTCTTCTTTCCTATCAAACATCTATTGTCTTTATCTCCTTTTTCTCTTTTTTTAAAAATGTTTGTTACTCCCTTGTAACACCTCTAATCTACTGGCGCTCATATGACCTTATGCAGTCACTAGCGCCGTAAAACCTCTACTAAAACTAAAACTAAAGAGCTGTGGCACTGAGGACACCAGAGATGACTAGATGGAAAACGAGAAGCGAGCTTGGGTATTGTGCGTGCTACGTCGAAACGCCTAACCGCTACACCACAGACGAAGGTGATCATGGTCCATAATTCATTCCTCAACGTAATAGTAGGTAACCTAAAAAAGTGCTGACTGGGTACATTTAATGAGGGTTTTTTTGTGGCGTCGGTGGTCTAGTGGTTAGGCTACCAGACTCGTTATCGTGAGGTTGTCAGTGGCCTAGTGGTTAGGCTACCAGACTCGTTATCTTGAGGTTGCGGGTTCGGGAGTTCGAGTCACGGGCCCGACGTTGTGTCCTTGGGAAAGACACTTTACACGAATTTTCCACACTTCACCCATGTGGGAATGGGTACCTGACCAAAAACAGTGAAAGATCTTGTCAGTATGTTAGTGTTGTAGCGCCTATAAATGATTGCTTGCACTGTATGCTTCCCCCGAAGTTTAGATTGTTTCAGAATGCTCTCAGGTCTGCGGGGGTAATAGTATAGATTGTGAAGAGCGTAGAGCTTGCTGTTGAGCGGGGATTTGCGCTATACAAATGCTATCTATTTATTATTATTAAGAACAAATTATGTCAGTTATCCTTGAAACCCACAGTGTCCTGCCAGGCCATAATCTTCAGCAGAAAGTGTGGGCGGGCGAGGGATAAACTATTACACACATGACTTCATCCAAAAGACAAAGGGAAAAGAAAACCCATTAATTTTTCAGGGTCTAATTACTGTCACTAGCATCCTCCATCTGACCCTTCGTGCCCAATGCTTGTAAACAAAACCCTCACCAAAATATCATCAACAACAAAACACAGGGAAAATTGTAAAGAAAAACAAAACACAGGGCAAATTGTAAAGAAAAACAAAACACAGGGCAAATTGTAAAGAAAAACAAAACACAGGGCAAATTGTAAAGAAAAACAAAACACAGGGCAAATTGTACAGAAAAACAAAACACAGGGCAAATTGTACAGAAAAACAAAACACAGGGCAAATTGTACAGAAAAACAAAAGACAGGGCAAATTGTACAGAAAAACAAAAACAAAAACAAAAAAAACCCCTGAAAAACCCCAGAAAACCCCAAAGGGCAACAACAACAGTTACCCTAAAACAACGACAACAACAACAACAACAACAACAGTTACCCTAAAACAACGACAACAACAACAACAACAACAACAGTTACCCTAAAACAACGACAACAACAACAACAACAA